ACGATAATGAGCAACCGGTTCATCCGGGTGAGGGCGCCAAATATCCTTTGAAAGTCAGTGTCTATCGGATTGAACCATGATCTGTCTGAACATTTTAGCGATGTCAGCAACGAGAACTAAGCGATGAGTTCGCCAGCGCATAATAATAGATAAAAGATCCGTCTGCAACTTGGGACCTGTTAGCAGCAGATCATTTAACGAAATCCCATTGTTCATAGGACTCGAGGCGTTGAATACAACCCGTATTGGAGACGTTACTGCTACTTGCCTTCACACTGGATAGTGAGGCAGATAGAATGAGTTATTATTATAACCTCTCTCTGAAGAACACGGGCCATATGACCCATCTGTTCATATTCAAAATAAAGTTACAATAACTTGCAGCCAAGTCAATATTACGCTCTAAACGCCGCTCTAACTTGTCGAAAGCGCCAGAAGCGACGTGAAGCAAACGACCGACCTTGGTTATGTGATCCGTTCAAAAAGGTAAGCGAACAAGATAACGTCCACTAGGTAACCTTGAATGAGTAGATGCGAAATGCGTTTCGCACTCGACCTCCTCTTCAGTGAGGGAACTACTAGCAGAGACTTCCTCTATCTCCCAAAAACTGCTTTAGTAACGCGTCTGTACTAGAAGAGATAGAGCAGTGTAACAAAGGCAGTAAACGAGGAGTGCCTGAAGGCTCGTCGTTGAACGGACCGAGGACACCCATCCAAATATGGTACGGTACGACCAGGGCTCTGTCTTTGGCGTAGTCCGTCTAGCACAATGGACCATAACTGTCAGCTCCGATCAATAGATCGATCGGTTCACCACCGAACGGATCGGGATCCGCGAATTGTAAGTTCTGCAAATAAGGATACGTAAACAGATTAACAGTACGCTTAGGCGTATACGAAGTTAATATAGGAAGGATGAATGCTGTCACTGTAACCGTAGCGCTCGTAGCCGAGCTTGCGCTAGATGGAGTTTAACTGCATGATGAGAGACTCCAGTCGATTGGTCACCTATGCCAGTGACCTTGACATATACCTTACTACGTTTTGCCTTCAAAACTGGACGGCCCTTTTAGTTATAAACGTAGCCTCCGAGCCTGTATCAATCAATGCTCGAATATTTAAACAACGAGCCTTGTTACTACTTACAGAGATTCGAGCAGTGGCTTGCAATACGACATCAGTGATTGGAGGAATGTGGGAGGGGCCAGGAACAGCTAACGTAGCTGAAAGGCTGGCTTTTGAAGGTATGGTATTTACAGCATTTATATTTGATATAACCTTTGTAGCAGGAATATCGATCTGCGTTGGCCCCCCGCTATTAGGAGACGGGTAGTGTCTCGGCCATGTTCAAACCCTAAAAGACCTTAATTCAAACCCTAAAGACCTTAAAAGACACTACAAGTCTCCTTATCTGCACCATCAAAGTCCATTTTTTGGGGGTGTAGAACTACTAAAATATAAAAAATTTTGAATTGCACGTAATATAACCTGAAAGGCGGCCATCGCCACGAGTTAATTTGAGCCAGAAGGAATAAAATCGGTCAAGCCGTTCTGGAGATACAAGCGGTCAAAAAGTGACGTTTTTCATGAAAAATGAAGTAAAGTAGTAACGTCGTCTTTCTGTCCGCGTCCGCTGACGTTATCAGGATTATATATATATATAATCTTAAAAAAATCATAAAAATGAAAAGGTCAAGCCATGTTCAAAAGAAGGTCCTCAAAAATTTAAACCTAGTCTGTACAATGAAAAAAAATTACTCGTAATTTTATATCGCAATATAATATTTATCGCAATAATTCCAGAGTTCCAATTTGTTAATATCGAATAATGTATTTGTTTCAAGTAATGGCAGTAGAGTCAAATACATACCTACGTATATGCAGTTTTTGCTGTTAATTGTACTTGAACAAAAAAAATAATTAAATGATTTAAATATAGCACATTTTAAATCAAGAAACTTATATAATCGAACTCTGTTTAGGAAAAGATAGAACATTTCATTTGCCTCTGCCTTTACAAGAAACATTGGATAAGGTATGTCCTCCGGAAGATCCTATAAATTTGAATCACGAGTTGCACATTCTCGTTCGAGGTATACCCAAGAAATCTAAAGTGGTTTGGGAAAATTTGATAGATATTAATAAAATGTATAAGGCTTTACAATGGTTAAAAAAAAATAATCCTCATTACTCAAAAATTCGTCTTCCAGCGTCATCTGATAATCTATTAAAGGATAAGTTGCAGGAAACAGAATATAGGATTGTCGATGAGGAAAGCGACATTGACGAAATAAATGAGGTGGTTGAGGAATTACCAGCATTAAATTTGTACAATGTACAGCAAAACAAAAATAATAATGATCAAACCGTTTTAAAACGTACGGCTTTTCTCACACAAATCACTGAACATTCGGATATTAACGATCAGTATACAATATACCCAATACACGCGAAAAGAATCGATAACGAATCTGCATTGAAGCTTTATCAAATGGTGAAAATTGAAGATTTTCCAATGGATAACCGTTATAAATATCTGGATGTCATGTGTTTCCCTGATTTATATCCTGATGATGTCAATGGACAACGAGAAGATAGAAACTTTGCATTGCCGGAATATTTATTTATTAGAACACGATTGATGTCGAAACATAGTAGATTCAGGTTGAATCTGCAGTATCTGTTCTTCCTTCTCAATGATGCTAACTACCGACAGTTGAAAAGTGGTATCTATTATACGATGATGGTTACTAACCCACGAGAAAGATACACTGCTGGTAGATACTTGAACGAATTGAAAGGTTACCAATTAGAATCGAATTTAATGAGTATTTTCGCAAAATTGGAAAATACGGATCAATTTTGGCGACAACCGTCCAATAATGTAAAATGCATGACTTTGCATTACGGTCCAGCGACGTGGTTTTTGACTTTGAGTCCTAGTGAATGGAAATGGTCCGATTTGGGTGAATATTTACGAGATATGAATCCCGATAAAGAGAAGTTAGGCATCAGCGAACTAATCGCATACGATCCTGTAAGTACTTCTAGATTCATGTGCATAAAATTCAAAGCCATGATTGATTTTATTTGTTCGTCCGATAATCCAATAGGAAAGGTTATTCATTACTTCTGGCGACTGGAATATCAACGTAGAAGTATCCAGCACATGCATTGTATGATTTGGATAAAAGATGCTCCAGTATTAGGAAAATCGCCGGATGAAGAAGTTGCTACGTTTATTCGAAAATACGTAACGTGTGAAATTCCAGATGAAAATGTTTCGCCAACGTTGTACGATACGGTAATAAGTGATCAGAATCATAAACATAACTCGTATTGCATGCGTACGAAAAAAACGGAAACTAATATATACAGAAAATGTCGGTTTGATTTTCCGGTCGGTTGAATGTCGGTTCGATCTGCATCTTATATTTATACGATTCGCGGGTGGCCGCTGTCGCGGGTGTCGCGTGCCGCTATTCGACGCGGAAGGCGTGGAAGGGGAAATCGCGACACCCCGCGGATTGTATAAATTAAATGAAGATTGATAATGCAAACAATAATCTTTCGATTATTACAAGAGTTAAGAGGACGATATGGCAGCGTACACAAACGAAGAATATTACGATATGCTAATGGCACTCGGCGAGTGTCATGGGCAGTATCACGTAGCTGCAAGAAGATACGCCGAATTATATCCAAATCGAGCAAGACATCCATCGGCTCCTGTTATACTTCGAGCAGCTCAGAGATTACACGAGACTGGCAGTGTCCTTCCGGATAAACACGATACTGGAAAAAATCGCAATGCAAGAAATTTGCGAAATACGGAGCGAATTGTACGTGCTTTCGAAGATAATCCTGAAACGAGTATTCGAGTGGTTGCTCGAGAACACAACTTTTCTTACTCGACGGTACAAAGAACGCTCAAAGAAGAAAAGTTGCACGCGTTTCATTATACACGCGTGCAACATTTACGAGCTGAAGATTATCAGGCAAGAAGAACATTTTGCGAAAATTTTTTGAGACAAGTGGATCGAGATCCCAGATTTTCTTTCCGTGTGATATTCAGTGATGAATCACTATTCACACAAGAAGGTATTTTTAACTCGCACAATATGCATTATTGGAGCGAAGAAAATCCCAGAGTAACGCGGCTCAAAAATTTTCAAGTACGTTGGAAAATAAATATCTGGGCTGGAATAATGGGTACCCAAATACTTGGGCCCGTTATTCTACCAGATATTTTAACTGGCCAGACGTACGTGGAACTTTTGAAAGAAAATCTGCCCGATTTTTTAGAAGAAGTGCCACTATTTGAAAGAAATAAAATGTTCTTTCAACAAGACGGTGCTGGACCACACAACGCCAGGATTGTAACAAACTACTTGAACGAGCACTTTCCTGGACGTTGGATGGGTCGGTATGGCCCGATACGTTGGCCCGCAAGATCCCCGGACCTTAATCCTCTTGATTTCTTTTTATGGGGATACTGTAAGGAATCAATATACAAAACGCTTCCCGAGGACGTCGACGACTTAGAAACCAGATTGCGATATGTAATTTGGAATATCGAAGAGGAAGTAATGGAGAACGTGCAATTAAATTTATTTAAACGCATGAGAGCTTGCATAAGGATGGATGGTGGTCATTTTGAGCACCTATTATAAATTAATCCGCTCTTTTCAGAGCGACCAAAGTTAATCCGCTCTTTTCAGAGCGACCAAAGTCAATCCGCTCTTTTCAGAGCGACCAAAGTCAATCCGCTCTTTTCAGAGCGACCAATACATTTATACATGGAACATCTTGTTCGCAAAACATAATTATTTTTCTCACGTCTCGCTTAAAAAGAAAGGGCAAAACGGGCGGATAATGTTAAGTCATTAAAAAAAATGTATTATAACGTAAAAAATTATAATACGTTATAATATGCCTTTTTTAATAACATAATTATTATACGTTTTAATACATGTCTCGCGTCAATCACATGTTCGGCAACGCCGCGTGATTGTTATCGTCTAGACGTGTCGCGAAGCGTCGCGACGCGTCGCGTCGTCCGTCGCCGCAGTCTGTTGTCGTGTCCTTGCCGTGTAAACAATTGTCGTCCGCATCGAGTAACGTGTGCCTTTTTACAAGTAATTTTTAATAATTAATCGGTACACTGAGAGAATTTTCTCTTAAAATTTACCCTAAAAGTTATGGTAATTGTGAGACAATACGGTATGAAGAGAATTAATATTTATCACATTAAAAATAATATCTATCACAATAAAATATGAAATATGTGTGATTAATTTTACTAAACTGTATAGTAAAATTAATCAAACATATTTTATATTTAAAAAAAACTGTTAATCTCGGCTCGAATTATTGTGTTACAATAAAAATAAAATATCGACGGCAATCGGAGCCTATGCGGATGACATGCACAAAATTAATAAATTAAAATGAGATCTCAAATCAAACTCATTTATTAAGTTCTAAACGTTTCGACCCACTTCGGGTCTTCTTCAGTAGCTGCAAAATACAAAGAAACAAAAATAGAAGATAATCGGTACAATCAGAAAATTATAAAACTCGTATACATACAATCCGCAAATAAATTAAATATAATTCTCCTCCCTATTCAAACCGTCCGGCCGTCGGAGTGTCTCCCTAACGGTGACCATCGTCAGGAAGGAAGCAGAGCCGTGACTCCCTTACCAACACTAATCAACATGGTATAAATTAAACGTAGAACAATTCACAAGAATTAAAAATTAAAACCGGGAAGAACACTCACCCCGACAGTAAAAACAGAGAGAAGACGATGCTACACGTGACACATCACTCTAACGACTGTGCG